AAGTGGGCATGGCTTTGACAAATATTGAATAGTTTATAATATATTAATTATGGATATACATGTGTAGAGAAATATTTATATCATATGAACTATATATATATATATATATATATATATATATGAGATCTGAAACTAATATTCTTTGTTAAAACTTAAAAATCAGAACTAAAATGACCCATCCTTTGTCAAATAATATTTTCTAAGCCCTCAAAAAACGGCCCCTTTAAATAAGACGCTTAAAAGCTGCACACGAGGCATATACATACACACATATATGTATATATGATAAGAGTCAAAGGCTGGTGAAGTGAGAGGGAGTTCAGTTCCATAAATACATAAGATTCGTGACCTCACAAAGATATTCTCTTCTGCAACCTCCTCCTCCTGATTTCTCTTTTACTTCTTTTTTTTCTAACGTAAATTATCACATCGATTAAGCGTTATATCATCATTCCCTGTAATTCACCTTGTCTTTTTCTCTTATTTAAGAACATAGTATATATAATATAATTATATATATAAGTATCAACAAATATATTTATTTTTCATTGTTGGGTCTATTAAAGATAAATACAGAGGATGTCGCAAGAATTTTCGTTTTCAACTTTAAAAATTTACAGAGTTTGCCAGAGGGAAAAAAAATTGACAGTGAGAGACCGCGAGATTTCATGCACGAGTACATAGTTGAACCATCTGTCATACCCTACCTGTTTCACCCATACGGTAAATATATACATATATATATATATATATATATGTAGGTAATTAACAGAGAAATGATAATACAATAATAAGTAATTTATTCATTTAAAAAATCGAAACCATCTATTCTTCATTAGCAGAGAGAAAATGCAATCTATGCCTCTGTATATTAATATGTACTTCTTGAAAAAAAAAATTATAATCTAAAAATTTACCGAGTTTTCGACTCAATAAATCTTCTAGAAGATCAAAGAAATCCAAATAAATATCTATTCCCAAATGAATATTCAAATCTAGATTAAGAACGAGTTTTGATCCAAATCTTGGTTTCTTGTATAAACTTCTTCCTAATAATGCAAATTATGCGTGACAAAATATAATCCTTTTATTTTTTTATGTGATAAAATTTACAACATGATATATTAGGGTTTGGAGTCGGTCGAGCGTTACGTTCTCTGTTCATCTTTGGCTTTGGTCGCTTTCTACAGCCGCTTTGCCCAATCACTTTTTTACCTTTAATCAGAACTTTATCAAAAGATCTTTAGTTGGGGTTTCCAATGTATATAATGTATGTTTATAGATACGGTCCATATATATATATATGGAAAACATACATACGTACGTACGTACGTACACACATGCGTGCATGCAGTGATCCATGAAACAAATCATATAAATTAAGGGGTCGATACACCTTTTCTATATTGATGAACGTGAAATTTGAATTAAACGTCACGGATGGAGTATAAGAGGAATTCAATTTTTATTTTGTGTTTCCCGTTCTTCCGTTTTCTTTATCGGATAAAGAAATTTATTGTAAAAAAAGGTTATGATTATTTGAACAACGTCTGCAGATACAGTTTTGCATGAAATGGAAAAAAGATCCTTTACCACTCACTATATATATATATATATGTGTGTGTGTAATGTGCCTATGTGCTGTCATTCCACGTTATAGTTTTACCGGAATAATTATAACTTGAACATATATAAATATAGCTATATATGTATACACATTGTGACTAGATATATTATGTATCGTTTAACATGGTAATTGAAATAACATATGAACTTTTACGTGCGAGGAAATTCGGGAGTAAAGCGATATACCATATGCTTAAAATGGTAAGATGTATGCGTTACACATATTAGGATATTTGTGTAGCTCACGTAAATTCATGTAATCTATCATTTTTCAATCGAATCTAAATTCCTAACTGAAAATAAAATGTGGCGCGCTGTAATAACCAAAGTTATTTTTCTCACTAGGCGTCAAATATTATTTAATTATCAACCCGTAAATATGGACCCCCCTTCCCCACAATACTACAATACTTCCAATATAGTACGCATTGTTGTGTTCTTCGTATCTCTCTCCTGCCACTTCTCTCTCTCTCTCTCTCTCTGAATCTCCGGGAGAAACCAAACCAAACCGGCAGAGAATCTTACAGAACATAAAGTGAGATCGATCCATGGGTAAAGCTACGAGGTGGTTGAAGGGCTTGTTCGGGTTCAAACCCTCTTGCAGCTCCAGCGACCATCACCGCCGGAGCTCCGCCGTCGGTCTCTGCGACACCCACGAGAACATATCGGAGAGAGAAGCCACGTGGATTAGATCCAGGGTTGATGATGTCAGTGATTTCAGGGAGGATTATCTTTGCATGGGGATAATCATGATCTTTTCAAATTCTTGTGTTGATCTGTTTTTGTCTTAAGACATTCAATTTGGTCTCAGGGGTCCATCTTGAATGGGAACTTGCTCGGGCTGTAGGTTGGGTTAGGTCTCTCTAGATTACAGTAGATATGCTGCTTGTGGTTTCCATGGCAGGAATTTCTTTGTGTGTTTCAGAAGAGTGGCGTAGTAGTTTGTTTTTTGCTCTGCAGCATCGTGTCATTGGTGCCCTTTTTATACTACTGGTTTTTGCAGACACTTGAGATGTTGGAGAAAAAGGAGAAAGTGCTCCTGAAGAAGGCTGCTGGCGAGGTCGAAAAAGCAAAGGAATTCACCCGGGCAAAGAACAAACGAGGTACGACTTGATCTATGTTTAATTTTATAACCGGATCCACAGCTGCAGCCGCTGTGGTTAGGCTTACCGGACGAAGCGGCCCGCTCCGTCGAACCGGCCGTGAGAAACTACTGGCTGCAACAAAGATCCAATGTGCATTCAGAGGCTACTTGGTACTAATAATAATAATAATTATTATTATTATTATTATTATTTTAATTTTAAAGCTTAGTCTCGAATTAATGATTTAACGTTACAGGCGAGGAAAGCGTTAAGAGCGTTAAGAGGAGTGGTGAAGATACAAGCGTTGGTGAGAGGTTACTTAGTGAGGAGGCAAGCGGCTGCTACGCTACGAAGCATGGAGGCTCTGGTTCGAGCTCAGGCCACCGTTAAGCTTCACAGGTCTATTCGCCGGTCCGGTTACGCCGGTCCGCCCAGGAAATCCATGGTAATAAAATCCCGGTTATTTCACTGACCGAACCGAAATCTTCTTAGTAACCGGTTCGATGCATTTGCAGGAGAAGTTCTCCGGTTGTCTGGAAAACCGAAACAACGGTGAAGAAACCGCAAAGATAGTGGAAGTTGACACTGGGACCAGACCCAGAACGTACAAGACCCGAAGACCCGCTTCAAACGGGTCGGATCTTACCGACGATCCGTTTCGCCGGACGTTCTCGTCTCCTCTATCGGGTCGGATCCCGCCACGTCTCTCGATACCCAAACCCGACTGGGACGACTGCAGCAGCTGCACCAAGTTCCCCACCGCCCAGAGCACGCCTCGGATCGCCGGAGGTTCGCCGTCTATCAGCGCCTGCTTCTCCGTCTCCAGCCGCGGCGGCGGCCGGTGGT